GAATTCTGGGAGTTGAAGTCCACCTGTCTTAAAGTTGCCAAGGTTGAGGAACCCTGATGTAAGATTCTTCTGGCTTCTTTACCAAGTTGTATTGAAAGAGTATAAAAAAAAGGTACAGAACCATCACTATAGAACATCTTCATACTCACAGAAAATCAAAATTAACCTGGAAGGAAATCCATGGGACCTTTCTGATGGGCACATCTGGAATTGAGAACATGTCATGGGTGCTACTGCAAAGTAGTTGCTGGATTAAAGAAGTTGCTCTTCACAAAAACTGATGATTATGCTGATTAACCAGTTTTACCAAGGTATTTTAAATCCAGAGAGTTTTGAATTGTAACAATAATATTGTTACATAGAGCTACAACCACAAGCATTCAGGAACCAAAAATAAGTAAAATTCCACTACAGGCCGTAAAATGTTCTGTTGGTGGTTCAATCACTCAGTAAAGATTCGATGTTTCACTTCCATAACTCTAATACCAAGAGTTATTTTTGTTTTACCTACATAAACCATTCTGCTACTCCTACAGTTAGTGAATTATGTGAGAATATCTGAAGACAAAATTTGTTATTTTATAATTGACCAAATGGTGACCCTATTTATGTTTTTCCACCATTTCTCTTTTTTTAATCATGCACACAAACAGATTTAAGGACAGAAAGGTAACAGATCCTCAGTACCTTTGGACCAGCGTCTCCAGGAGCATCTATCTGGGAGCATTTAGCCACTCGCTGCAATTGTACTTGACTAGTTCAGCCACTGCTTTCAATTTTCTCGACCGCCCCCCCCAAGCCTTTTCAGCACTGATCAGCTGAGCAAAGAACTCCTGCACATTACAAAAGATTGTGGGGTGTATAACACGGCCCATATTCATTTCTGCCAGAGCCCACACTTGCATTTCATCGACCGAGTTCCTAGAATTCACCCAGCTTCTTTTGTGGCAGAGAACAGTAACAGGAGCAAGCCTTCTCACAGAGATCTTGTCCCTGTTACTGGTGATTTCCTACAGAACCTCTTGAAGCCTTTCCAAGGAACCCTGGGTTTCTACAGAATGCCAGCTGAATGCTAGAAAGGCGCATAGCCGAAAGTACGACTGAAGATGTGTTTCTATGCTATGGTAATGAATACACTTTTTAGAATGGTAACCAATATATGAACTTCTCCAGTCCTCCATCACCACAACATCTGACCATTGGGGAATGTCAAGCCCCTTACAAAGAGGCACAAACAAGGAAGCAAGAATTACAGAGACTTCTGTAAGCCCTCATTTATTAGCAAGTTCATTAAGGTGGAGTCTCTGAACCATTGGACTCTATTCTTTCTGGACTTTTCCCAGCCTGGACTGAGCTGCTGTCTATGAGATAAGCTCCTCCTCTTATCTCCCAGCTGTTCCTCCCCTTACTTTCCCAACCTACCCACAATCTCTCATGTGGAAGCTGAGGACACAAAGAAGAGGCATTGCGGGGTACTATAAACTATGTCTGTCCATGCTTCCGTAATTTGGAAGAAGTGCACTGGACCTCTGATCCAGTGATGGAGAAAGTGGAAGACATTTGGGGAAGAGCAGAGCAACAAGGATGATCGAGGGACAGCAGTCTCCAGGGAGGGGAGGGGTGTCAAAACAGAAAAAAACCTGAAGTTTTGCCACTTTTCTATATGTATCATCACACGTTCATATCAAGAGGTGGGGTTTCTAGTCCTCTGACGCTGCCATCGGGGGACTGGAAGCTACGTCCTACGAAGAGAGCTTCATAGAATTGGCATGTTTATTGAGAACAGAGCACTGAATAAAAAAACGAGAGCCCTAACAAACAGATCACAACCTTTCTCAACCTCCAGAAGTGCCGCAACTAGAAGTTAGCATGGCCAAGAGAACCACAAGACTGAATTTAAAATGCCGTTTCCTTTACTAGCAAACTTAGAAACAGTAACTGCAACAAAAGAAGAAGAACAGAGAAAGGGTCCCGGGCAGTTCAATAAAAACATCAGCCCAGAGTGCGGCTGTGTGCAAAAGTGCAAACTCCCTCTATGGATCATTGGGAAGGTAAGTTAAAACAAGACAGTTGCTGCAGTAGATAAATTTATGCTGAGACTGCTTCTGAAACTACTGTAGATCTGGAAATGGTGCAGAGCCCGAATGATCAGGGCTAGACTAGGTCCCCCTGAGTAAGACTACAGAATCTTGGGCTTTTTAGCTGAGAGTGGCTGCTACCTCCTAAATCACAGGCAGCGTATCTTAAATACCAGCTGCTGGGGAACAGTTATGGGAGAAGGAGAAGGTAACCCACCAGGACATATCTGGGAGCTTTCCTAATGCCTCTGGTTGGCTGCTGTCCACCCAGGACACAGAAGTCAGGCCTGGATGGCCCTTGACCTGGGCAGCCTCAGGGAACTCCCGGGCTTATTAAATGAGTGCTTTAATATAAGCACATTGTGCTACATCAGCCTGTGGTAGCAGATGAAATACAATTATAAAGTTGCAGTCAGTCTGGGTCAGACTGTTTGCAAACATCTAAAGCAGATATTTCTCTTATGCTAGGCCAAAGTACATCTAAAGAACAAGTAAGGCACTTTTCTTTCATTCTCACACTCCTGAGCCCAAATCAGTATTTTTGTCAAAACCAGCTAGAGCATTCAGCGTACGAATTCCCCACTCCTCTATTGGTGCTCTTTCCAAGGGGATCCAGAGATCCAGTTCCTCTGGACAGCAAAGCCCTTCTTCCCAGTATGCGAACCTTCATGGACTAACTATGGTTGTTCCTTGAATTGCAGTTTTAGCTCCTTCTGCTTTTGGTATTCAGACATATACACCCACACATGCTAAATAATTCTCAACCATTTTCACACCTGCCTTAACCAGATTTTATCTAATTAAGGCATTCAAATACCTGTCTAAGCATTTAAATTATCAACTGAAATGCCAGTGAAATAAAATACAAAACAGTGAAACGTTAAACATCCCATTGGATGGGAAGGCGTGCAGTACAGCATTGGTCACGCTTGTTGAAGACTTTTGGATGGGCCAGGATGGGGATGTGTAATGGGCTGTGAGAAGGGCCTTGGCAGACAGGAGGAGGAGCTGCAGCCTAGACAATGGCCAGGCGAGCGATATTTCAGCCCACAGCAGGGAATGGGGATGGAGAAAGCATCTCAGAAGGGTCCCTCTGGGAAGTAAAAGCAAGGGGGGGGGGGAAGGCTTTCAGACTTGCAAGATTTTGTTACTGTAACCTTACAATAAAGGTAGTGTTAGTATTCATGGTTTTGGTTTCTTGTACGGGCTATGTCGAAGGGCTGACAGGATGGTGCTCCTTGATCTTCAGGGGCATTTGACACTGTCAGCCATGGTATCTTCCTGGACAAGTTGCAGGGATTAGACGTGGGAAGCACTGTTTTACAATTGTTGTCCTTTGTCTCTTTGCTTTGTAGTTTGTTCTGGTCAGTGTTGAAGCGGGAGGGGGGGAAGGAACTCACAGCCATGGCACCTCATTTGTGGGGTGCCTCAGGTCTCAACTCACCCCCACCTCAACATCTACATGAAACTGCTGTGTGAGGTCATCCGTTGGTTTGGAGTCTGGTATCATCAGTGTCGAAATGATACCCAATTGTACTTCTCGACTCCAGGCCATCCAGGTGATGCTGTCAATGTTCTGTCCCAAAGCCTGGAAGCTGTTTGGTTCTGGATGGAGAGTGCTCTCCCTTCAATTAAACAGCACCACCTATCGGGATCTAGGAATCAAGCCTTCTCTGTTGCATCCCCCAGATTTCCATACAGCTCCGCCCCAAGGATGTTCCTCCTGGCTGTTCTCCTAGGCCTGGAACTAGAGTGAGTGTTAAGCCCCTGTCAGGTTTTTTTCCCCCATTATATTGCAACTTTTCCAGACATACATGGGTTTTTTAAATTTGGTTTTAAATTTCTTTCTTGTTTTAATTGTAACCTGCCTTTAAAATTTAATTAAACAAACAAGATCATGAGAAACTAACACTTCAGATTACTCAGAAGATGGAAAATTATCAAGAAATATTACTGGGGAGCATCCATTGAAAAACATTTAGAAGAACAAAAGCAAAGATACATTTATTTCTATCAATTCCCTAAATTCCACCCATGATCACTTACTATGACAGCAACCTAGTGCCTCCGTGGTGCTTTGGATTTCAGCTCTCTTCATGCCTAGCCATTGTGGTCTATAGTAAGGAGCTATGAGAAGTGTAGTTCAAAACACAGAAAGGCACCAGTTGCCAGGGAGAAGAACTGCCGGGGGCAGTGGGGAATTGCTCAAATATCACCCCAAAAGAAGACAAAGATAGAGAGAGCAGCTTTTTTTAGGAACAGCACTTATAAATAACATTCCCTCCCAAGTAGTGCATCACCCTTCCAAAACAAGATTTCCACGCTGCAACTTAAGATTCAAATGAAAATCTAAGAGATTTCTTGTATGTATTTTTTTTTTAAGAAGATGGACAATGTGCCTCACTGGGCTTAAAGAATCCTGCAGGAAATCCTGTTTTCTACTAAGGGTCTTGTGATGGCGTGGCCTAGAGGAGGACAGGTTCCTGCAGCCCAGCCCCTTCATGTAAAATATGCTGGAATTTCTAACCCAGCCCCTTCTTTTTCCCTTTCAAGCTTCCAGGTATGTATGGAAAGCTGGTCAGGGATTCTGAGCAGATCAACATATCTACAAGTTCAGCCTTCATGGCTGCAATATTAGAAAGATGAACAAAGTGTTCAGCTGGCAACAGATGGATGAAGTTTGGCAGCCCTGGAAAGAATGGAGATGAGGCAGTGGAGTGGAGACACCATCTTCTGCCTCAGCCATGAACTCGCTAAGGGAGGAACTGCATGTGCCATAATTTCTTCTGACTCCTTCTTCTTATATGCCATCAGCCACAAGGCTGGGTTTGGCTGGGGAACCAGAGATGAGAAGACAAATTTCTTAACCCATTCCCCTGGGCCACTTTCTGTTGGACATCAAGCCTTCACTTGAAAAGAAATAAGGGAACAGAATTGCAGTGTTTTTTTTTTTTAAAAATAGAAACTCAGACCTACATCTGGAAGAGAGAGATGTACAAGACTGACTGATCTGACAGGCAATGGTAAGCAACACACTCTGTAGCACATGAAAATATCAAAGATAAATGTGATCCTTTTCATTTGAGCCAATGTTGCATTTTTCCCCTCTGATGAAGCTCATCTGCTTTTTACATATCACATCTGTGCAGCAAGCAGACTTTCAAGAACATACAATAAAATTCTTGGACTTCCCTCATATAAAAACTTTTCACATGAAAAACGTTGGGGAACAAGGTAGCAAAAGACATTCTCCTTGCTAGCTCAGATTAATTTGAAATCAGATGTTACGTTAAGTGGTGTAGCTGAGTTCTCTATCTGCAAGAAGTCAAATATATACATTTACACACATTTGGAACTGATACATTCCTTTTGCCCTGCAGTCGTTTGGAACAGCCGCATGCAGATGAAAATGAACAGCACACACCTCAGAACCACACCTGAATACTGGGGAGAGACAGACCCGAAATGTAGAGGGTTTTCATCCCACTGAGCAGTAATTTTGAAATGGAGAAAGGAAACTTCTGTGGACTCAAGAGCATCTAAAATCTTCACTGTTTTGAGAACAGTAGGAGGGTCATCTCAGTGAGAAGACCCGGGTTTGAAACAGCCTCTCCAGATACCTTCTAAAAGGCCTGTTTAGCACCAAGTGAAGTTTTTTCCTTATTATTGGACTTTTGAACCTGAGTTTAAAAAAGAAAAGAGCATTTGACCCACCAGTGGTTAAGCTGCATTTTATTTTATATTCTGGAACACTAATTTAATTTACCCTGGTTAGATGAAATGACTACACTTCATTAATGTTTTTTGTGATGTATTTCATCTACAGTGCCTTTTAAAAAAGAGAGAATTAATTATATTCTTTGCTTCTCTGAGCAAAGAATGCACCAGTGAATATCCTTGTGCATTTATTCTTGATGACAGTGAATTTATCTTTCCTGCCATAGGGCAGCCCTTAGCACAGAGGTGCCCATGCAAATTGCTGTAAAATAAGGAGTATTTGTTTTATGGCTGTTTTCCAAGTTCTTTGCATCACCTCCCTTCAGAGCACCCAAGCCAGTCTGAACAGGAATGTCCTCCAGTTATTTGGGTAAAATCATGGGCCAAGGACTGATGACTCCCCCGGGCAAAAAAATTCCAGACTGGAGGGTAGACCCCAAAATGCTTCCCCTGCAGACCTGGTTTGGCACCCAGATAACAGTCCGCAGGGACGGATGGAGACTTACGTTTGGATTGAGTGCGCGTTCCTGGTCCCTTCCACTGAATCCCACAGAACCACTGCTGCGAGATCCTGCTGATGGCCCACCCCAAACAACTGGTGGCTGCAGCACACTGTAAATGGCAACACTTCCAAGCTGCCCCCAGCACCTCACACGATGTAACGTTGTGCGGAGAGCAGAGACTTACACAGATAGTCCCCTTCCCAGTTGATTTGTATATCTGCAGCTGTTCTCTGTCTCAGACAACAAAATTCATGACTCCAAGACCTGCTGGGGGCAACAAGAGGGATGAGCTAATTGGAGTTAAAGAGATAATATGACCCAGAGTTACTGCTTCTAAACTTGGTCTCAGCAAGGTTGCAAAGTTGAAAGGGAAAAACAGGGAAAGAGAAGGAGGGGGAAAAAAACGACCTCTTGAACGTTTTCAATATCGAGCATCAGTGGTAAATTACTTGACTTTCACAGTACATAAATCAGTTCTAGAGATTCTGGACTTTTGAGAATGTACAAGAAAGCCAGCTGGAAGGGCAGGTTTCAGAAACAGCATTCTTCCATGCACAATTGCCTTTAAAAGAAATATCTACACACTACTATCATTAAATGGAAGTAGAAAGGTCAGGGACACCTATAAACCAACAGTGGCCCAATCCTACTCTTGCAGAAGCCAGAAAACCATGTTTAAAAAGGTCATTTCAATTCCCATTCTCCAGAACACCAAATGATCTGATTTTACGCATACATTTTGTCTGCACAGAAGCCTACATTAAATCTCTGAAAAAAAAAACAGGAATCCAAACCTGATTTTTAATTTACCTTATTCACAGCAGTTATAGAAGAATAAAACATTCCAAAATCCCCAGAAAATATGGTTTTAATATATAAATTAGCTGTAGGGAGTACTTTGTTCCAGCTAGCAGATGTGAAAAATTTGAGGATGACCTATTTGGATTAATTAGCCTTGCTTCATCAGTTTAAGTCCTGCACTTTGTGTTCAGGTCACTCTTTTGATCAGATAATTTTTGAATTTACAAGGTAAAAAAGAACACTAAATATTATTATGGAACATCTGAAGGCCCCAACCCAGCAAGAAAATCAGACCTCCTTAACCCCATTAGAATCAGTGGAATTATTACATTTCTTAAGTTTGGCTAATACTGAGCATTTATATTTAATGGAATGGAACTGTGACTCAAGGCCTTTGACACAACCAATGTTAAACAAGCAGTTGGGTAAAATGAGACTGTAGGACTGTCTGCTCCAATCTAATAGCCTCCGGGACTACAGCCCCCCTCAGCCACTGAGCCAGACAGGCTGATCAGACATCATGTCAACATTTGTGAAGGGAACTAGATTAACTATTCAGTTTCCCAGGCTGAGTTCCTCTGATCCTCACAGCTCTCAATCTTCAAACTTTACCAAAGGGATAATCTGGCAGGGTGGAGTGATGGTAGGTTTAGCTCAGTTCAGTGCCCTGGGCAATGACCTTGCTTCACTTAGTTGCTTTATTTATTTAGGTGTTTATCTTAAATATTTATTATTTGTCTTAAGTATTCCGCTATCTTACGTATGTCAGTTGCATGATCAAACTCCCAAATCTCTGCGTTGATCAAAGACAGACCCCACTCTGAAAAGATTATGAACAATTTTACTAAATAATGAAGTATAATTAGCTATTAAATGAAAAAGAGAAGTAGGGTAAAATAGCAAATATGTAATTATGGAGATCAGCTATGTTGCCTGCAAAGGTGTTTACAGAGAGATCTTCTGAAGTGCACTTCATTGAGCAGGGTTGCTTATTCTATTAAACTGACACGCACTTGAAACCACTACGAACAAAAATCATGGGGAACTAGTTAGTAGCCGGCCAACCTAACAGTCCCACCCTCCATAGTTGCACTTCAACTGCGCTAACCGCCTTCCCTTTGGATCAATACAGTAAAGCAACCCCTCCTATGAAGCTCAGCAGGAACTGAAATGGAAGCAGGGCCCTCAAAAAGTCAGGTGAGGAACTGGCTTCAGGACGAAGCAGCAGAGAGAAAGCAAGCACAACCATTTGCAAAAGTGGAATTGGGGATCCAGTTTTCATCTGGCAAGTTAAAAGAAGGAACAGAACAGGGGAGATCTGAAGGGGTTAAAGGGACAGGAAAAAAACACAACCTTTTCAAAAGGACAGGTGCCGGGGAGTAGCTCTACCATGAAGAGACCAGGCAAAGCAGAAGAAAGGGCTGTTACCTTGGCCAGCGGCATTCTCCAAATTATGCAGGGCTGGATTCAAATATTTCCAATGTCTCAGCACTTATTAGAACCTACATCAATTAAATATACTATAGGAAAAAAGGGGGCAAGAAAATCCCAGCATAGCTTTCAACATTAGCCTTACTTCATGGAATACCTGGGTGGAACGGTGAGAGCTACGCCTGCACCGAGTTCCCCCTCTGGTGAGCAGTACAGAAAAGAAAATGAAAACAGTGCCTGAACCCCAGCTTAAGGGCTCAGCTGGATCAACCTAAGTCGAAGACATTCAGAGAAAAATCAAATGAAACCAAGGACTGGAGGCAAAAAAACTTCACCAACTAGGAGACACAAGCCTGGATTGTGAACATTCAGGGAACACCAGCAATGTCCTCCCTGTGAAACCTCTCCTGCGGTTCTATGTATAAACCAGGCAATGTATTTGACTAATTATTTTTTATGAAACTGTGTTCAGTCACAGAAAATGTTGAACTGCGTCATTTGACTGAGAATCTGGGGAGAAAGGAGAGGAGAACCAATGCAAGGATCCCCAGTCTCATTATTTTGTTAGAAGAGAGGCCACTGCATGTGCAAATCAAATTTCAGCACCCACAATTTATTCCACGCTATTTCTTCCTATAAGGAGTAAACTGAAAGCTGTTCACAGTCAAATGAATCTGAGTAGCAGCTACAAGCAAAGAGCCTCACAAAACCGGCAGGAATAATTAAATAATTAAATGTGGGGAGAATGAGGGTGGGAGTGGGGAATAATCTAAAAATGAATCTGCCCTATAGGCACTTGCTCTCAAATGTACGCATTATAAGATCAAAGCTCCTTAAAAACTCCCTTTTCATGTCCACAACCCTGTAACATCTTCAGCATATGTTCTCATTACCTCTGTCTTGGAAGTAAGAAAGCATTAAATACAGGGGAGAATACCAGTGAGAGCTATTAGCCTGACTCACAGGATGCCGTAAAATAGGCGCCCCAGCGTTACGCTGTGTTCCTCTACAACAATCTTACAGGCTCCGTTTACTTCCCAGCCCCTGGGCTTGGGGCTGCAGCCTAAATCAATTTAGCCCAGAGAAGTTGTGGGGAGAGGGCAGCTTTAAATGTGTCCAATTTACCCTGTGGGTTCATATAAGAGGGGAGCTGAGCCTCACCAATCTCACATGGTGGTTATGGGAAGGAAGGAAGGAAGGAAGGAAGGAAGGAAGGAAGGAAGGAAGGAAGGAAGGAAGGAAGGAAGGAAGGAAGGAGGGAAGGAAGGAGCGAGCAAGCGTCTACAAGTATGATAAACAAATTAAGCGTTTAAAATGCCTTCTCTTGAACTCTTCAGCTTTTGACTGTACAATACAATATTAATTATAAGATCTCAGCCAGAGTTAATCACTTTTAAGGTGCAAGATTTAATGGGAAAGGTTGAACATTGGCTTAACATTCCCAATGAAATGAAGGGGTGCAGCAGCAGCACTCCACTCCACCTGGAACATGACTGCCTAAGTCACTAGTTTGCAACGAGGGAAAAGCCTGTATGAATATTCAACTTCTTCACCAAGCAAGAAATAACCACGTTCACAATTTCCTGTGCTATGGCAAAATACACAGGCATAAGGCGTGATCCAGACACAAACTGTTAACTTTATTCAGACTGGGCTACTTCCATTTTATACAGACATTTCACACCACAAGGACCGCTACCAACCTGTTGCTAGAGAACTCATACTGGACACGCCGTAACTGGAACAGAAAGGCTGTGGAGGGAGAAGTTATATGCCATCTGCTAACACAGAGCTGTAGTCCAACTGCAGGGAAAGCAAAGGAGTTTTGCTATAAATCACAATTGTGGATATACTGCGCCAAAGGCAACTGAACACACCAGCAGGATCTGCTGTTCCATTCCAACAAGAGGCAAAGGGGCCGCTTGCGAGAACCACATCATAAACAAGTTTGGATCACCATATGCTAACATTTCAACAGGACCTACAGTCATAAAACGTAAAGAGTCAATCCAGGTCCATTGACGTCAATGGGGAACTTTCCATTAGATTCCACAGAGAACTGGATTAGGTCCAGGATAAATGCTAAGAAGGGAAAGGATACTCAAAGCACTTACAACATACCTTTTATTATTATTATCACAAATGGGCAGCCTGAAATATTATTTTCAGTACTAGCCTATCAAATTTCTAAGTGTCTGTTCCCAGTGCCGTAGAATACTTTATATATAGGCATTGTGAGTTTAAACAGGAAGTATTCAAGCATTATGTTTCATGGGCAGTTTTAGTACTTTGGGTATTCAAAACTACTTCTTCCACAAAAGAAGCAACTGATAGTAGCCATTTTAGTTCAGATACCACAATGCGATAATCTTCATGCTGTATAACCTTTCCTACAGAGTCTGGACAAGAGTGACTCCAGCAACAGATACGCGTGTTAACTGACCAACAGACTCCTTAATACACATTAAGGTATGCGTTAACCAGCAATTTAAGTTACGTTACAATTCTTGTGGTTTAGCAGACACTAGCGGCTAACTTCCAGACACAACACATCACTGAAGACGCTTTCAGTAGAACTTTGCTTGCATTGAACAAAACAATTTGCAATTCTTAGCAATAGTGACTGCGGATAATAACCATGATTAGGCAAAGGAGGATTAGTTCAAGAGGGCCTAGAACTAAAGCATGAACCACACAATGTGGGCAAGACTGCCTTCTCCTCCTGTCCGAGAAGCACTTAAAGGGGCCAGAAAAAAAATGGTGGACACTCTAAATACTCGAACTGAGAAGGATCTGAAGCAAGCCACACCTACGTACACATAAATACACACCCGTGGATTGCTAATTTTGCCTGTACAGTAACCTGTACATTTAACTGTCTTGCTATGATGGAAATTGTCTTCTTCAAAGGCATTCTGCCCGATACCAAGCACGGATTACACAGTCAGTCCCAGGGAACTAGGATGTCTATTCCCTACAGTAGGATCACCAACCAGGCTGGATTATCCCGCAGGATTTTGGCAAGATTGCTGAATAAATATTATGCATTACCACAGCTATATCATTGTGCAATTTGAAGATGCTTCTAGTTTTTTTTCAGGGCTGAGATCAATTTGGATTTTAATTTCTTTTTCTTTTTTTTCCTTTTTGTCTTTCATTTATGTATTTATTTGTGGTCTGTTCACTCTCAGCTTCTGAATCTGAGAGATGATCAAATTAAACAAAGAATAAGGACATTTATATGCTGCAGCTAACACCACACCTCACTTATGCTCACAGGCTAGAATTTTAAATAACTTTAGACCACAATCCAAAGCATTCATATTTACCAAGAATAAAATGAAGCTGACGGGATTTTCTCCCATATAATCTCTTTGGGGACCACTATCAGTTGCGTTGTGCTGACTCAGCTCCTAGAACCTCAAGTCAACTGGTCTTATGGGCCAGAATATGAGTCCAACCAAGTTTATTCAAGACGAAGTAAACCAAATGAGTCTCATACTCCTGGGTCACTGAAACAAAAATTGAGATGACATCTAAACGCATTTTGTATTTTGCAAATGGACAAATCAAAGGTTATGTCAGAAAGTTTCATTCTTTTCTTGTTAATAATAAGTAGTATTAATAGTAAATTTAATCTCTTGTGAAAAGCTGCACTGCCTGAACAAAGCAACATGGGAGAGTCGGGCTCTTGGACAGCGATCAACCTCCTTATGCCTGGATTCTAGGAAGGGATCTATCCTGGTCCCCATTTTAACATATGGCCTTGCCAAGGAGAATGTTACTGCAGGCGCCACAAAGGCTGGCTGACTAAACCATTTGTTGAGAAAAACCAAAATCATGTTGCAGGCTGAATTAAAAGCTGGCTACGGCATTTTAAAAGGTACCTATGGAAAATACAACCTACTGCCAATGGGAAGAGTAATTTGTGAAGAAAATAAATGTCCAAAATGTTGAGGGAAGAGAAGAGTGGATGTCTACAAGCCCTTTAGGATTAAGATACTCTAGCAAGTAAGCTGTAGGTGAATCCACAGGTCAGAGCAATTGCACTGGAGTAACTGATGCTTCCTGGTTCTCAATAATTATAGCTTTTTTCACATTTACACATTCCCACACATAGACAAACATGCGCGGCACATCTCTTTAATAACATAAACCTGTGCAAAATAAATCCTATTTAACCTGGTAGAATTTAATTACTCCCCAAAATTGCATCCAAACTGTCATGGTCATGGTAATACTACAAGGTTAATTATTCTCCTTTTAAAAGAAAAAATATATTAATTAATTTTGTCAGGAAAAGGTTGTTTTCATTTGTTTTACAGAGCATTTTTTTTTTAAAGTGTACTTTTTTTCTGAAACCCTCTAGATCATCAAGGAACTGTGAATTGCTCTTTCACAGATAAAAAGAGGCTGATCAGCTGGATTGTGAATCACAGCAGCTTCATTTCACTAATGGGCTGCCTGACCTCCTCCCTGTATCTGAAATTTCAGTTTAAAACTTCTGGCGAAATCTCCTTCCTCGGTAAATTATGAGAAGCCACTGCACGCAGTCAGCCAGACCCTTCAGGGAGACTCAGGAAAATAAGCTACTGGTCCGTTTAAGCAGAGGTGCCCCGTGGACCCCAACCACTACTGCGGCCCGCTCCCAGCAGAAACTTCAATAGCCCCACTCGCCCAGTTCTGAGATCCTTTTGAGAAAAAGTCAGGGCTGGGGGCAAGGCCCCTGCCCAGGAGGGCCGGCTTTTTTCTCGCCCAGAGGAAGCAAA